TAATTTTTTAAATATTTTTTTTTGTCTTTTTGTCTTAAATTTTTGAATTTTTATATTGTAATTTTAATAATTTTTTTATTTCTACTATTTATTAATTTTTTTATTTTTTTAATATTTTATAATATTATTGAAATCTTATAATTTTAATCTCTATAATTTTATCTTACTTTTCATTTTATAAATATAATTTAGATTATTTATTTTATAAATAAATTAGTTTTTTTTAATTTTTATAAGTTTACATAAAAGAATGTATTGAAACCCCTCGATCTTTGAAGGTACCGTAGCAACTCCCATGCAACAATACCCTTCTTCCAACTTGGTTAATTACTTGCAATTCAAAAAAAATTGATTTTTCATATGCATATTTTTTATATATACGAGTAAGATCGAGTCACTTCATATCTTTATATTTTATTTAATAAAAATATTTAAAAATTATTAATATTTATTAGATCAATTAATATTGTATTTAATCTTCAAACTTTAATAAAATCTTAAATTTGAATTTTATTGAGAAGGTATTACCCTGAATTCACACATCTAATTTTGTGTCTACATTATGTTAATTGGTTTGAATTTAGATGCATTGGACAAACATGTTTCATTTGATAGTTTAATTCCACTTATTCTCTCCCTCTCTCTCTCTCTCTCTCTCTCTCTCTCTCTCTATATATATATATATATATATATATATATATATATATATATAATAGATAAATATTACCAATAAATGATTAGAAGCATACTAGATAAAAAATTAAATCAAAAGTTTTTTATTTTGAAAAAAAAAGTATAATATCAAAAGCATAAAATTCAACTTATACTCTTCACCTTTTTATAATTGATTTACATACACTGTGCATTAGTTTATATTTCTTCTAATGTAAAATTAGTTATAATAATATACGTATGTGTATATATGTGGAAATAGATGTAAGAAGATAAGTATAAATGTAGATCATTAAATATGAATAATTAAGGTTAAAAAATGCGCAGGCTTTTTTAAGTGGTCATGTATGACCAATTGACCATCATATAACTCGCGTAATGTATTGATTATTTATATGTATGATTGTATGGTTAAAATTATAATTTTTATTTTTTATAATAACTTCATATTTTCGTAAGAGTCCCTCTCCTATTAATATTATTAAGATTTTTTTGAATAAAACTAATTTAATAATGAATTATGTAATATGAAAAATGATGCTTACGTAGGAGATTACAAAAAGAACATAATTTGTGCAATTTTAGTTGCTAAGCAGAGCAAATTTTTTCTATATAATAACATTATGAAAGGACATGTTTGTGACGTGTAAAGTTTTCATACATGTAGTTGGATTCATGCCAATGAGCATTTGTGTTTAATTTAATGCGGGTGATTTTTCTTTTATAAGGCACTGTTGCAAAATAATTAAGGAAGGGGAAATTTTCTCATTTCTTCGTATTTTTCAAGAGAACTGTTATAACTTATAACTCGTTTCTGTTTATTTGCAGTTTTAACCAGCCCAACATATCACCCTTTTGGTTAGCGCCAATCCACAAAAAAAAAAAAAAAAAAAAAATTTGGTTTAGCATGAAAAACAAAATCAAAACTAAAAGTATTGCTTCCTTCCAGGAGATTTCCCGAAGGTAGTCACTATAAGTATGAGGTACCTTTTTTAACATGTACTATTATTACAACAGAAAGGATATATTTATCTCACATGTATTAACTTTGGAGGCAAAACGCCAACTTATTTAGTTTAGCCACATCATGTTAAATACATATAGTAACACAGTACGTAATTAAAGCTAGATAAATAATCCCCCACACTTATAAACCTTTAGGAAAATTGAGGATCTTCCTAAAACACAAGTTTCTATATATAGTATATCTTAGACGTACACCAACTTAATCTTAGAATAATTATCTTGGACTTTAATTAAGTAAACCTAGGAAAAGCCACAGCTTTGAGAGGGTTCTTCATCTCACAAGATAGCTTGAGAACCTCGGTTAGGTCAAGTGGATTAGCCGTGTCTTGGAACCAGTGAAAGTGGTGAACCAAGTTAGCCACCCAAAGGCTCACAGTCACAAGGCCTAGGTTCCTCCCTGGGCAAACCCTACGTCCAGCTCCAAATGGTGCCAGCCTAAGGTCAACACCTCTAACATCCACTTCAACCCCTCCTTCACTCTTCACGAACCTCTCGGGCCTGAACACTAGTGGCTCGTGCCACACGTTGGGGTCGTGGGTTATGGCCCACATGTTCACCATTGTGGTGGTGTTGCCTGGGACCACCATCCCGTTGCTGAGCTGGATATCTGACGTGGACAAACGGGCCCAAGAAAGGAGGGGCCCAATTGGATGCACTCGCAATGTCTCCTTCACAACGGCTTCCAGGTATGCAAGTTTTATCACATCGGAGTTTGTAACTTCTCTTTTGTTTCCCACGACCTTGTCTAGTTCATCGCGAAGCTTAGTCTGAACTTGTTGGTTCAAAACAAGCTCCGCCATTACCCACTCGGTAAGAAGTGCAGTTGTATCCGTGCCACGGAATATCATTTCCTGCATATTTAATTAAGAGAGATGCAAATTAAAATTAAGACGGACAGATTCCCATATTTGATATATATACTTGAAGAAAACACGTGTTAAAGTATGCATGGAAAACAAACTTTAGTACGTTAAGATAGTGTAAAGAAACACAAACCCATAAAACGGCAATGATATCATCATCTTGGAGCTTGTCATCCCCCTCTAGAGAGAGCAGAACATCCACAAAATCCGAGTCATCAGAAAGTTCCTTGAACGGAGCCACTCGGTGCTCCTCCAAAACCCGCTTCACAAATTCCTTAACCCTAGGCGCAAGAACCGAGCACCGTTCTCGAATACGTAAAGGGTCATAAAACAAGCTCATCCAAGGAACATAATCGGACCAGTTGAAAGCCCCCAAAATCTCAAACCCTTCCCTCACCATCTCTCGCACCTCTTCCAACTCATTACGGCATTCGTCTCGTTTATACCTTCTTCCAAAAACGGTGTCCATAATGTTGTTAAGAGCCGCGTCTTGAAGGTGTTTCCTGAGGCGCACGAAGCCGTGTTTGGACTGTTCGTGAGCCACGTCACGCAGCATGGCGGCGCAGTGGAGCAGGCGACGGGGCTCGTGGGCTAGGATGCGCCGCGGGGAGAAGAGGTGGGTGGAGGCAAGCCTCCGCAGCAGACGCCAATACGGTGCGTTGGGTGCGAACCCAATGGCGCGGTCGAACATGAGCCTCTTAGCGGATTGTTTAACGGGACGGTCGGCGAAGTGGGGTGAGTTCAAGATTTCACGCGCCACGTCAGCATCTGAGGTTATGACTGCGGGGGTTGAGCCCAAACTGAAGGCCATGAGTTTTGTTGCCGTTAGAGATGAAGCCATGGAAGCGAGGGTGCGGTGAGGTAGCCCATGGCTTAGGCTTAGGCTAAACAAGAGGCCAAAGATTGGGACTCCTTTGGGCCCTGGAATAGCGAGCTGGCCCATTTGGTTTCTTCCGTTTTTCCATGCTACACCTCCTCCTCCTCTTGGGAAGGCCCATGCTAGAAGCCCAATGGAAAGAAGTGCAATTAGGATGACTAAGAGCGGGTTGTGAAGTAAGTTTTGTGATCCTGCTATGGCTGGAAGTGCAAACAGGCACCAGCTAGTGTCTAGTGATGTGGAAGGTAACCCCATTCTTATTATATCTATATCAGCAAGAGAGAGTGAGATGGGAGGTTGTCAAGTGCAGAGAAGAGGCATGGGAAGCTTGGTATAAATAGTTGTGCGTACGTGCATGGATTGGAGCTTAGGGTAAATTTGAAGATATTTCGTATTATTACAGGTGTTAGTAAGATTTTAATTTGGTATTTTTATAAGTGCAAAAAGTGTGTTGCGTGTAACTGGGGTTAGAGGTACGTGGCTTAATTTGTTCACAATTATTGAATAAGATGTGCTACTAATCATTAGAAAAAACAATTGTTTTTCTTACGAAGATTCTACTTGTTTCGAATCAGTTTCCCTATGGTATATATCCAGAACTATATCAAAATATGCATAAATATTGTATATAATTAGTGAATTTTATGATTTAATGTTAGACATGTTCCTGAACTTTTAGGATGATAATTTACGATTACAAGATACAGTACGTGTTTTTTTTTTTTTTTCTTGTGAAACATATATTGGGGCGTATAGTGATAGATGTTGGATTTGCGAATATGAATGTGGAATGTGGATGGTGGAGGTGCGGATTTTAATTACCGAGGCACGCGTGTGTTAGGGCGGGAAGCGAGGGTGCACATACGTGTGCACGCTGCTCAATGCCTCTCCTCACGTGGCTACGGGCTATTCAAGAATGTATCGCAAATCACCCACCCAATGCCCAATACAACTTCAACTGCCTCACCAATTCACAATGAAACATTAATATTCACTTTTACATGGATTGTATTTGCCTTTTATTCTTTTAAATATAAGATAAATTTATTTTCATTCTTTATATTTGAAATTACTCTTTTTTTATTTTTTATTTTAAAAGAAAATTAACCTCGTGCTTAAATTATATTGTTAATAAATTGTCACAAGATTTTTTTGTGAAAGATATCTATGATTTATATTATAAAAAAAATCTGTCACACAAAGTCCCATTACCAAATATGCAACACAAAATTTATATACTAATTTTTTATCAGTAAAAATATCATATCAAACTCATATAATGTTATAGGGGATTTTGATGAATGAAAGTAAATTTATTTGAAATTTCATAAAATAGAAAACAATAATTTCAATGTAGATGACAAAACATAAACTTGTTGGGCATTTGGGGTTACCACACACATACACATATCTCCATGTTGGTAAGATATTGTCCGCTTTGGACCCAGCCCTCACAGTTTTACTTTTGGATATTGCCCAAAAAGCTTCTCTTTCAATGAAGACAATTGTATATATATAAACTCATGTTCATCATCTTGCTTTTTAAGTTCATTTTTTCTGTACTTTCAAACTGAACTGGGCATTCTATCTGATCTTCCGAAAGATCTCCTTCTTGCTAACATAAGGAAGAGCATATTCTAACTCGCGTAGAATGAAGACTTGTCTTACCGCATACCAGTTGCATGTGGGAAGACCAGAAGCGGGGTGAAGAATAAATAATGGGCGGACGATCACATCGTCCGATAGCTAAATGGATGGCACTTGACTAACCTTGAACGATGTGGGATTTTGCTTGCATCCAACAAAACTTACTCTGCATTTAAGAGAGTAAAACCATATTTCAATCATTATATTTTATCCTCTTGTAGTATGATACTATTTTATTTTTTATTATCAAATTCCTTTTTATTCTTCACTATTTGTTTAATTTGACTACGATTTTATATAAGTTTATTACCTATGGTTGTAAAAATAAAAATAAAAAAAACAAGTTCATTACCAATGGTTATAATATTTTTACTTTAACTCAAAATTTTGAGGAGATTAAATATTAATACATATATATAATTAAAGAAAGTAAATAAAGAAAGATTAAAATTTTAATTATATTTAGAAAATACATAAAGTTATACAACACGCATTTTTAAAAGTAATTTGAAATATTTAACGTGAATTCACAAATCATAAATCATAAATAAATAAATAAACTGTATTTTGAAGAAGAAATAAAAAGACAGAAAAGTGTTTGAGCATGTTGAATCATTGATGTTTTTAGATGTGCTAATCGAAATTTGAAAATGACCCAATCTAATTGCAAATTATTGATCCAAATCCGCTGCTTGGCTGACAATCGCACACGTTGCCGTTCTTAAAATTTACATTAATAATACTTTCTTAATTATTGTTTCTCATGCATTACTTTCCTTAAACCCAGGGACGGAGCCAGGATTTCAATACTGGGGGTGCCATATAGGGGGTGCCATATAGTAATATACATATGAGTTTATATTAAAAATATGAGTTTATATTAAAAATAGGGGGTGCCATATAGTAATATATATGTATATAAAAAAAAATTAAAATTGTTGGGGGGGCCGTGGCACCCGTAGGTCCCCCCTTGGCTCCGTCCTTGATTAAACCATATCATACATATCAAGATTCAAAACTGAACGTATTTTCATGCAAGTTGGATATGCATGTTCTTGGTTTACGTGCTTTATATAAGAGTTTATTTGCATTGCGCCAAATGCCTAGAGGTTCACACCACTTGCATTCCTAGAAGAATTATTTTACTAACCCTAACCAGTTCTTTTCCCATGAAATCAACGATCTCTATCTACATTTCTGTTTAAACTTATAAAAACTTTGTCAACGTGTGAATTGACACAAATAGTTAAGAATTTTATTTAAACTCTCATTTTTCTCACAGTAGTGAGTTTAATCTTTTTATATCACTTTTTTTTTTATTTGATAGAAAACTTTTCGCATAAAAATATTTTATTACTTCATAAATTAATTGTGTAATTACAATCAATGACGTCACGTCTGATAATATTAAAGGTACTTCTTTAAACTAATTAACATTTTTAATCATAAAAAGAAAAGTCTTTTTTAAGTATATTTATATGGTTACAACAATTCATATTTAATTTATGTCAATGCCATAGGTTGTATTGTTGTTTGGGAACTTAGGTGTTCAGTGTTATGCATTAAAGTGTTGTAGATATTAGAGTCATAGTATGGAAATATATCGAAATGCAAATTCAATTCATTATGTTTGGCTGCATTGATGAAAATACAGAAGAAAGAGAAATAAATGAAAAATATAATAAATTTTAAAAGTGTTTGATTTGAGAAAAATAAAAAAATTTAAATGAAAAATAAAAAAGCAGTAAAGTAGAAAGAAATTAGATGAAAAAGTAACTATTATTAATACTAAAATTCAAATTTTCTAATAAACTAATTGTTTCTTTAATGAGAAGTTTTCTTCTTTCTATCCGAATAGGAGTGATAATCAATTTTAATGTGAAATATTGTAACATCTATCATTGGACATGGAGAGTTAGCCTAATGCTAAAATTAATTTTTATTAGTTTTAAAATAGTGTTTAATCAGTAAAAATTAGATTTTACAAGCATAAATTAGTTTTTAATTATCATTTTTAAATATTATATGAATCATGTTTATAGAAAGAAAAAAAAGTGATAACTGATTATACTTGAAATTAGTCTTTTAATTTATGTTACAAACACGCATGTACTGTTAAAAAAATTTGTTAGTTTTACGTTGAAAGAAAAAGGCATTATGTTGGTTCTACGAGGAAAGAAATAGGCATTTGACTCACGTTTTTCTCTTCTCTTCCCTCCTATTTGGTTGAAACCAATTGATTGATAATTACAATATCTTCTTTATTTCGATTTCTGTCTACCAAACAAGGCGTCCTGTGTGAAAATATTGCAAAGACTATATTATTTTTCAGGTTTAATGGTAATATATTGATAATATAAAGTAATTTTATGATATAAAATAATTTTATATTATCATTCAATTACAAATCATGAAAATCATAATTGTTAAAAATAAATAAAATTTGTTTGATTATTTATAAAGGTTCTTAAAAATATTTATATAGAATTCTCGAAAATTAAAGATTTTCATGCTTTGCTATAGTATATTTCTAGGTATATAAATATCTTTTACAAAAGTATTCTTTATTTACTCAAATCTTATTACAAGTATTTATAATTAAAATTTATAGTTAAAATTATTTAAATACAAAATTCAACAAAAAAATTAAACAAAAAAAATGTTACATTATAATTAAAATGAATAAAAATATATTATTTCATTTTATTGAATATTAACAAATACTATTAAGCTATAAAAATAAAACAGACTTTAATAATATTATTAAAATTGATAAGGTCAATAAATAATAAGATACAAAAAAAAGATAGAAAGAGAAATAAAAATAGAGATATGATAGGAGGGAGAAGAAGGAGGGGGGGGGGGGGTAAGAGAGACAAAGAGAGGGAGAGAAATAGGAGAGAGAATGAGATATTTTTATTTTTAAAATATATATTATAATTTTTTATATACATAAAATTTTTACTTAACTCAAAAATGTTAGATTCTCATTTTTTTTTGAAATTCTTTTTATAAAAAAGGTGAGATAAAAATTATTCTCTAGAAAACTATATTCCTAAAATATAAATAAATAAAAAATTACTACCAAACATGAAAAATCAAAATTCCCTATTTAAGTTTATCAAGAAAATAAAAAATTCCGTATACTAAACGTCTCCTTAGTTTAATGCATGACCATTAAACTCTTATTTTTCACCTCTTCCAACACATATTATTACATAACTATTTTGATGAGTTTCTAAATAAATACTTATAGGAGAATTATATATATAATTTATAAATTAAAATAGTTTATGCACAAGTTATAAAAATCCTTTCGTATTAACTTTTTCAAAACTTTTTATTTATAATATATGTATTGGTTAATTTTAATTTATAAAAGAATTCCTTCTTTTACTTTTATTTTCTTCAGTAATTTAAAAATTTATCAAATGTCTTACATCTAGTACTCTGAAATAGACAAAGACGGTTCTTTTTTCAGAGATAAAATGTTCTGTCCTTACCTTTTTTTTTTTAAATTTCATATAACTTTTCTAAGTAAAATATATATTTAATACATTTTATAAATAATACATGTAAATAAATTATAAGAACATTAATTAACCGAAAAAAAATAAGAACCTAAATAAAGACTTAAACTTACACTTTCTCTCAAAAAAAAAACTTACACTTTCATTATTATTATAATTTGATTTGATTATTATCCAGATTGGTTAATCAAAATCGATGAGGACTGGTATTCGTATCCAGAAACCTAGCCTGTTTTGTCCTTCCAATTATATATTAAGAAGGGAAAAACAACTTGACTCTTGGTATTGGATTCTAACCAGAAAAACCTTGATATTGGATTTTCATTTTCTCCCATCAAAATTAAGTCAGAAAAATAGATAATACTCATAGATACGGTTTTCTTTTTACAATGTCTAAATTCATCACAATATATATTTTCTTCAACTATATATATATATATATATATATTAAAAAAAATGACATAAGAGTTTCTTGATTTTTTTTTTTTACGTAGGCTAGTTATACTTTATTTTAAGCAAAATTGAATTAAATAAGAAGGAATACAAGAGATCTTCCAATCCATATACATAACATAATTAAATTAAGTAGTGGATTTCTGACATCAAGAGAATGAAAACAACACAATAAATACATATCTCCCAAAACTAATAATTTGCGATCATCATACTATAAAAAACCTTACACCAATAGGTGGAACAACCAAACTAGCAATCCAAAAAAAGACTATCGACTACAAAGTGAAACCAATCACCATTATCAAAAGCATTGTCCTAGCTAAGTTAGAATCACACACCTAGATAGCAATGATCACCATCAAATATCACTTAATAAAAATTAAGGCATATAAAAAGTGACTCAGTCCAAAAAGAAAATAAGTATGAAAAAAAATTAGCTATCGCTTTTAACCATTTCCAAGTGCGCAATTTTACCATTTCAAGCACATCTCAAGTAGATAGCACCTTGTCAGAAATAATAAGAGCACTTCTTGCTAGCCAAATACTCCAAATTATAGTCAACTAGATCACAGCCCATCTATACCTTATTTTGGAAGGACAGAGAGGCAACCCGAGAAATTGATCAAAATGAACAATAAGGCTAGAAGTGAAGCCACACCATTCCAAGGAAAGCATCCAAACATGATATGCAAAAGAGCACTCACAGAATAGGTGTGAAGAAGTCTTCATCCTATATTAACACCATACACAGGAACTATCCGAATCAATAAGAACATATCGCTTAATAAGATTAAATTTAGAATCAAAGCCTTTAAAACTAAGAAAAGCCAAATATCTTAGTATTTTAGTTTTTATTAATTTTTTAATATCAATTCCGGTAGTTTTGTTTAATTAGACTCCAGTTATTCAAGAAACAAATATCTAAACAATTTGACATTGTATGGATTAATTTCTATGACAAAATAAAGCCTAATATACATGTTTTAATGAAAACAAATCCCAGGAACTGAAATTTAAACAAATTAAAATATGTAATAGCCAATATTGTACTAAAAAAATATTCAACAGGTAAAAAAAACCTGATATTCAAAATAAAAATTAAAAATCCAAATCAACTAATTTTTTTATTTAACCTACCTTCTTTTTTTTTTTTTTCTATACGGCCACATGCATACATATTCTCTATCAAATACATTTTTGTTCAAGTTGAGTACAACCACGAGAAACAGTAAAGTTCTCTCTCATCATAGTATCTAACATAGCATTGTATCTAAGATTCTAACTCAAACGACTATTGATTAAGTAACAGTAACAGTAATATTAAGCATAAAACGTCTTGGTTTAAATTCCATGGACTTGGTTTCAATACATTTGCATGTAATTCACAGTGAAATTGGAATAGCAGAAAGAGGAGTGAGTTTCTTCAACGTGATTCCATACTGCTCAGTCATGTCAAGCGTTTGAGGAGTGACACCCGGAGGAAGCTTCCACTGAAAAGAGTGCAGTAACGCAGCCAACATCAAAGTAATCATCCTATTAGCAAGTGGCAAGCCAGGGCAAATTCTCCTACCTGCACCAAAAGGTAAATACTCGAAATCCCTGCCCTTGAAATCCACGTTTGACCTAAGAAACCTTTCAGGCTCAAACAACAAGGGATCCTCCCAAAACTGGGGGTTCCTCCCAATAGACCATGCATTGATGAGGACTTGGTTCCCTTTGTGAATGGTGTAGCCACTCACTTCAACATCTTCTCCTGCAACGTAGGGCAAGAGAAGGGGAGCCGATGGATGGAGGCGAAGGGTTTCTTTTACAATTGCTTGGATGTATGGAAGCCTTGGAATGTCCGATTCTTTTACTTCCTTGGAGCTCCCTATCACTTGGATCAGCTCCTCTCTTGCCTTCTGCATCACTTTTGGGTTGCGTAGAAGCTCTGCCATTGCCCATTCTGATGTTGATCCCGAAGTGTCACTTCCCGCAATGAACAAATCCTGTTTCCAAAGAATACTGTAAAAATTATAACTTTGCTTTCATAAATCCTTAAGTAATGAATTTTTTAATTGATCCTTAAATTATAAAATTTTATAATTGATTTGCTAGTCTTTCCAATTTTTGTAATTCAGGCAATGGGTTGGAGGGTTAGTGGTTTTTATTAGGGATGATGTATACGTTAAAAAGGGTTGCACCATGTAATCCAATGAAACGGTTGGATTGGGTTGAAATTTTAAACCCTCCAACCTGCATATGCACTTGTCAATCCAACTTGATTCATTCAACGGCTTTGTCACTGTTTATCTGCAGTGTATAATTATAAGAAAGAGAAATAGTGTTAGGAGTTACGAGAATCAAAGGCTTGATGGTTTGGAGGGTGAAATGGGAGGGGTCCCCTTGGTGACAATGATCAAGCAAGACATCCAAGAAATCCCCCTTTGCGGGACCGGAAGGCTCTCTCTCCCTTTCCCCGACACGTTTCCTTATGATGAGGTCGAAAATGTGATGCAACCTGGCGTAAGAAACCGCCACGTGTCGCTTCACGCCCTGCAAGTCAAACCTCTTGAGCAACGGAAAGTAGTCGGAGATGTTAACCCTGCCGGCGTCCTCCATGATCCTCCTCACAACCTCCTTGAACTCGCCGGCACTCTCGAACTCCGGGTCCACCAAGTCCTCCGAGAACACCGTGTTCGAAACAAGATTCAGCATCGTCGCGAACGCCACTTCACCTATGTCAACCACGTTTCCGCTCAAAGCTTGCTTCCGGAGGTGCTCCACCATTTCCTGCACTTTGCGCTGCCGCAGGTGCTGCAGCAGGTCCAGCCGTTGGGCCGTGAAGATCTCTGTGGTGCAGACGCGCCGCCGGTGCCGCCACCTTGGGTCCGCGGGGGCCCACGCCAGGGTGTCGCCCACGTTGGGCTGGGCCGCCACGGATTCCGGGATGAGCCGCCTCGCGAAGGCTTGGTCGTTCTTTTGGAGGATCTCTTGGGCCGTCCCCGGGGAGGAGGCCACCACCGTGGTGACGGAGCCCAGACGCAGAGACATGATTGGGCCGTGGGTTTGGGCCAGCGAGGAGAGCGTGCAGTGGGGTTTGGGGCCCAGTTGGTGGAGGTTTCCGATTATGGGGAGGCCGGTTGGACCGGGGGGTTGGTTTTTCCTAGCGTGGCGGTTCAGAATGAAGCGGGTGATGAGCACTATAAGTGTCAGGAGTAAAAGCAAGATGTGAAGCTCCATGTCCATGTCCATGTCCATGATCATGATGATGATGATGGTAGTTTCTTCGGCCGAGATTGAACCTATATACTATGGCGTGGTATTATGGTTTAATATAATATCTCGTTTTTAAGGATACTGATTACTGATTAGTGGGCACCGCGGTATGTTGGAGTTGGATTGGAATGCATTTAATTATCACCACACCTGTCTGTCCGCATATATTCTTTTCACTAAAATGTTAAATTATTCTTTAAATATCTTTTTACATTTTACAACTTTTATTCTTATAAATATGTTTATGAATTCAACTATGAATCTAAGGGAGGTGTATTGGTTTAGGATTTCGTAGGATTTTAATAATTATGCAATTTTGATCCCTAAGGTTTTAATTGAGTAATTTGAGTTCTTAAAATATTACAGTTGTGTAATTTTAGTCTCACAATTTTTAATTGAACAATTTTAATCTCTCAAATATCACAATTGTGTAATTCTAGTCTTTCTCATTAAAAATTTAATAATATTAAAAAATATATATATATATATATATATATATATATATATA